CCCTTGGCAGATACTCCTGTGAGTGCCAGGAAGGGCCTAGGGTCCCTCAGGGATGCCTCTCCTCCATACGTCCCTGGGTGGGACAGAAAACGGGGGTCACTCAGGGGCACACAGACAGTGATGCGTGTCTCTCCAGGTCCTGCTGTGTGAAGTCCTAGAGTCAGAACTCAAGATGGGAGATAGATGCTTCTCTGAGAAGCAGGGGAACCATAAATGGATGTCTTTTCTTCAAAAAAATTTTTTGTTTGTCATGCTGGGGTTTGAATCTAGGGCCTCCTGCATGATGGGCAAGTGCTCTGCCAGGGGGCCACACCCCGCTATTTTTTTTCTTCTTTGCTTCTGCTCTTTGATTTAACAATAAAAGACATCTTCTCATTTCTTTGCGCTCTCTCTCTCTCTCTCTCTCTCTCTCTCTCTCTCTCTCTCTCTCTCTCTCTCTCTCCATGTTTCTTGAAATGTGTTCATCTACTCTCTCTCCTTTCTTTCGCCAGCTCAGCCCACCATGAGAGCGGGGCTGGTGTGGCATGTGGTGCCAGGGATCAAATTGTGGTCCCCTGTGCCTGCCTAACCCCGCCTAAGCAGGCGCTTTAGACTGCTGAGCTATCTCACTGGCCCCTTCTTTGATATTTCTTCCTTGATGTCATAAGTCACAAACACAGGAATGAGAGAAATGTCACTGTTCCCCCAAAGCCAAATTTACTTTTACTTTGAGCTTTCGATACCTCTCTTTAATTATTTATTTTGGGGCACTGAGGATGGTAATCACGGCCCCCCACATGCCTAGTATGTGTTCTACCACTCAGCTACACTTCAATCCCCTTCCAATTCCTCCAGCTCGTGGGAAAGCAATTAATTCTGAGACAGAGTCTTGCTATGTAGCCCAGGCCGGCCTGAAACTCACAACAATCCTCCTGTCTCAGCCTCCTGAGTGCTGGAATTACAGGTGTAGCCCCGACACCTGGCTAGCTGGTCAGAAATTTAAACTTAACCTTTCTACCTCTTGCTCCACCTTTGTCAGGATAAGGGTGGTATTCTGTTCTACTTTTTCAGTTTTCTGGTCTGTAAATGGAGACCATGATAGTATACACCCCAATGGCCTGAGCGAGGCATGGTGAACTAGGATAGTGCCTGGCATGCCTAAGGATAACTATGAAGAGAAGAAGGCATGAGCCCAACAGGTACCACACTAGGCAACCTGGGAGATGCGGCATTTTGCTGAATGATAGATGTATTGGTCTTAGCATGATCTTGAGCTTTGCTGCTTGCTTTTGGTTTTTCTTTTTAATGTATTTAGAACAGGGTCTGCAGGGTCTCACTACACAGATCGGACTCATAGTGATCCTCCTGTTTTCCACTTCCCAAGTGCTGGGATTACAGACATGCGCCACCATGCCCAGTCTCAGTTGCCATCTCAGTGTGCCCTGGGGGCGGGGTGGCACTGTAGGCCAGGGATCAAACCCCTGGCCCCTGCATTTACCTAATCAGGCACTTTAATCCGCTGAGCTATTTGGCCAGGCCTTGCTTTTGATTTTTGAGATGGGGCCTTACTACATTGCTAAGTCTGGTCTCAAACTCCTGGGCTCATGCGAACCTCTCAGCCTCCCAAGTGCTGGGACTGTTGGCATGCGCCACCAGTGTCTGCCCAAATATTTATCCGTCTAGGACTTACCTGGGCACTGTGGCACACACTTGTAATCCTAGTCCCGGGAAAGTTGAGACAGGAGAATCATGTGTTTGAGGCGAGCCTGTGTTATACATAGTGAGACCGTGTCTCAGACAAAACAAAACAAAACAAAAACCCTAAATAAATAAAAAAGGAAGAAAAGAAAAACTGTCTAGAAGTTAAGTTTACTACACCCCTGACAAATGTACTAGGTTATAAAGCTTGGAAATTACAGAAAAATATAAAGCAAATAGAAAACAGCTACAACCCCATTTTCCCAGTGGTTTCATCCTAGGCTTCAAAAATTTTAAATGATATTAATTAATAAATTAGATATGACATGAATCTAGCTATAAAAATGTTTATTCTAGAAAGTATTTATGAATTTGTAAAAAGGAAAGTTCTGAGTGTGGGGGGAAAAACACCCAAACTATTGACAGTGGTTGGTTATCTCTGGTGGGTTTAGGATTATCAGAAATGTGTATTATTTGGGGGAATCGGCATTGTCTATTATTTCTTTTATGACTATGTCTTCTTTAGTGTCATCTAAATGGTAAAATAAAAATAAATATGTCATTAAAATAGAATATATAAAACACAGGATGCTTAGGCTCACAACCTCTAGACCCCAGAGGACACCTCCAGGCAGCTGGACGAGTCTTGAGCCCTGGACCCTCTAGGGTGCTTGTGACCACCCATTTGGTCAGAGTACTGTCATGGGGAAACTGAGGCACAGCATATAATTTTGCTAAAAACTTGTGGGGTGCAGGGATCAGGCAAGGGTTAACATAGTAATAACGAGGCTGTCACTCAGACCCTGTCCCTAGGGACCCCGTGAAATGCTGCTAACCCGGAGCGAGACACCGAACCTGAGTGCGGTGGTGAGGTGTCCTTGCAGTGGCTTCCACACTGAGGTGTCTACCAGACTGTCAGCTCCTCCTCCCAGGGTGTTGCTGGGTGTCACTCTTGGGAGGGTCAGACTTCTGCAGAAGCCTGCAAACACTCCTGCTGCACATGCCCCACTCAGCTCTGTAGGGCCCAGGGTCCCCTCCCATGGCCCTACCCCTTCTCCGCCACCCTCTCCAGCCTCGCATGCCACTCTGCTTAGGTGGCCCAAGGGGTTTCTGCTTCTCTCTCCAGCTACCTGAGGGGAGGGAGCTCCTCCGAGGGGCTCTTAGGCAGGCCTCACCCCCACCCTCCTAACTTGCTTTCTGCCTGAGTGCCCTGGGTCCTGGGGGCGGGGCTGTGACTTTCCTCTGCACTGGGGTTGGGGCTGTGAGGGACTGGCCTAGAGGACATTGACCAACGCCCAGAACAGGCCTGTGTGGCCCAACAGCTGCCTCGGTAGGCTACTGAAGAGCCTGCTGCAATTGTCCCAGCATTTAGGGTGGCATCAGGGAGGTGGCTGCACAGAGCAGCTTGTACCCTCCCACCCTTGGCCTGCCGGGCTCCTCTGGCCTGGGTTCAGGTAGGCTCCCTGAGAGGTGGATAGAAGGATGTAAACTGTGTGTGCTCAGCTGCAAAATAGGGAACTTGGAATCTGGCTCCCCAGGCTCCTCATGTGCAGCGCAGGCGCGGCTGTGGCTGGGGCATACAGGCTCTCACCCGGGCTCTCCGAGCCCTTAGAGCTTCCTTGGGACCACCCCACCCCATCCAGTGGCTCCTTCTGGGTAGGATCCCAAAGCACAGGACTCTTGAAGTGTGTCTCCCATTCCTGAGGTGCGGCTTAGTGGGACGCTTAGTGCAGCTGAGAGTTGGTCCCAGGGCCAAGCTGGGGGGTCCGGAGGCACTGTGTGGGGAGTCAGTGAGGGAAAAGGGAGGGGCCCAGATTGAGGCATGAGGGGGGTGGTTTAGCTCTCAGGACACTGGGTCCATAGTACACTGTCTCTTCAGCCCTGTTTGCCTTAGCTTTGTCTCTGGCCTCTAAAACCCTGCTCAGGAGTCCGTCTGTTGGAACCCAGGCCAGTGCAGGGCTGACGTGCCAGGCACAGCCCAGCATTCACAGGAGGCTCCTTCTCTGTCAGTAACCAGGCCAGCCCTAGGCCACCACATCCTAGAAGCCCCTCCAAGCTGGTGTGCCAGGACCCCTAAGCTGTGCAACAAGATGGCCCCCGACCTGGACCAACTGCTTGCAACCCATAGCTCCTGAGGGTGGCTCAGGGAGGAGGGTGGACTCACCAGGGCTCCAGGAGGCTGGGACTGCCCAACTTGGGGAGTCAGCTCTTCCTGTCAGCCAGGTACCTCCATCCTAAGTCTGAACACAGCACACAGTAGGGCCACTGGTTATGTGACTGAAGAGGGTGACTGAGAGGGGGCAGGGACAGTGGGCGCCAGAGAGAGCTGTCCTCCATCTCCTGTGGTGACTGTCCCTGGTGTCCAAGCAGGGCGGGCCCAAGCCCCTCTTTACCCTTCTCTGCCAGGTGCTCTTTGCACCTGCTGCTTGCTGAAGGCCGCCAGTGCTGCCATCTGCAGGCCACGTGCCCTCAGCGCAACATGACTGCCAAGCCTGGGACTCGGGGAGTCTCAATTTCCCCTCATCAAGAGGGCTACAGCTGATGGAGGCTTCAGGCAGAGGCTGTGGCACCACACCTCGTGCCCATCAGCTGTGCAGAGGGGTCATCACTCCCTACAAAGTGATCAGGAACAGGAGCAGAATGACCAAGTCTTCACTCTCGGGAGGTAAGGATGCCACCCAGGGCGCCCCTCAGAATGAACTCACCGCCCTTGGGGCAGAGTCCAGGCTGGGTGGGGGAGGGGTATGGTGTTGGCTGGGAAACAGGAACGTCCTGCGGGCTTCTGGGTTAGGCTGACCTGCCCAACTTTACAGGGCCAAGTTCCGGATGAGGTTTGAATCAGTCTACTTTCTGACAATTCCCCTGCACACATCCCACTGGGCTGAGAAGCCGGTTACCAGGCCACGTGCCCACACCACACCCTGCTGTGGTCCTAGGAGCTCAGCCACAGTAACTCCAGGGAAATGTGGAGCCCAGGGCCCCCCACGGGTGCGCCTGTCACCTCATCTGTAAAGCAGGGGTGCCAAAGTGGCTGCTCCAGTCTCCACAAACACAAACCCTGGCAGGGCTCTCCCCAGACCCCGGGAACAAACCAGGCCTCGTGTTCTTCTAGGGGCCTGGCTGGTCCAGGAAGGTCTGCTTCCCATCCTAGGGCCAGGAGGTGACAGTGGCATTCCTAATGGTGTCTCCCACCTGCAACTCAGCCCTGCCTCCCTTTCCTTGCCTCCTTCTTCCTGAGCGAGGGCTCCCACCACTGGCCACGACACGGTCCCAGAAGTCAGCACAGAATCATTCAACACGTCTCAGTTATATTATTGTAACAAACCAGTCAAAATTCCATTTTACAGTTAAATAGTACAGAAGACAGACAGTTTACTGTACAAGCGGGTTGTACATGAGACACAAACACACTAAGCAAACGATAGTGCAAAGCGGCTCCAGCCCCCCACCCCCAGTGTGGACGATTTCCTGGAAGATGTGAGTACAGTGGATTTGCGTACCTCGGCATGACAATATGTCACAAAGGGTCTACACCCACTGAAAACATGCTTATGCCAACCTTGCACCAAAAGGCTTTCCTTTCCTTGTGCTTTTGACATCAGCGCATGTGTGCGTGGCAGCCTTGCAAATCAGGACCATTCTCACCAGCCAGAAGTCCATACCCACTGTGGGCCTGAACCGACTTGTCTGGTCACCATCACTGCTTGCTAGGGGAGAGAGGACAGGGGTTGATTTGTTTCTGGTCCTGCCCTGCTCAGGGTTTGGGCATCAGGAAGGGGCTGTCTTGGGTGGGGCGACTAAGTACTGCGCACTGGGAGCCCCAGGCGTGGCCCCGCTAGCCAGGAAGTGCAAGTGGAAGGGTAGTGGGTTTGCAGCTGCTTCCTGAGAAGGGGCGGAGTAGCCCCTGGGCGCAGGGAGTTGGCAGGACACCGCTGCCGCTGAATACTGTTTTTCAGAGAGAACAGGGCAAGAGAAACTGCGACAGGAGGGACCAGGGTAGCATCAGCAGAACTTCCTAGCCTGTCAGGGAGCACATCTAACTGTTCTGCAGTTGGGGGCAGACTGGCAATGCACACCACCATGAAGGAGCACTGCAGGGGGGGCTTCCACACCCACAGAGGGTGGGGCTGAAGGTTATGCCATCACATGGTGTCCCACCCATGTTTTCTCATCCTTTTTCACTCAAGAGCCCAGACTCAAAGGCCCTTGTGCTCCCACCTGCAAGATGCAGGGGTTCCCATCATCTGCGAGCCTGAGGGGAAACTTCTGGCTTTGGAACAGGGGGCCTGAGCCGAGGCTGGGGCTGTGATACGCCCGTGCTTCTCCCACACCCCGCCCAGCCCAGCAGCCCCCTTGTCTCAGAACACAGACGTGGGGTTCAATGCTCCCCTCCCCCACAGGTCCCTGGTCCCCTGGCAGAGGTAGGAATGTGACAGGGTGATGGGATCCTGATAACCTCACATGGACAGGAGGCGTGTGTGTGTGTGTGTGTGTGTGTGTGTGTGTGTGTGTGTGTGGTTTATAAGCCCAGAGCACTACCTGCTGGAGGGCTTGGATTCAAAAATGTGTAACTGAAGCTGCTTTCTCTAAAATTACTTTTAAAAACTGATTTTTGTTGCTGAAGACTTTGGTTCAGGAGTGTGAACAGGTTAAAGAGTGTGATGCAGCTGGGGCTGAAGAGCCGGCTGGGACTGAAGAGTCGGCTGGGCATCCCACGAGGTGGGACAGAGCATCTCTCGGTCACCGGCCATAACCTCACTGCACCACGCTGCACCTCAGTGCCCTGGGTGCTCTGAGCAGATGGAAACAATGAGACTCCCCAGGAGGCTGGGGGGACGCCGCGGGCTGGACACGTGTGTGCAGGGTTGCCTGCGCCAGGGCATGGTGGCTGAGGTGGGCCAGAGGCTTCCGAGCTGCTGGAGGGTGGGGGGCAGAGCGGGAGGCCTGCTTGAGTGCATGCTCCTCCCTCCTGCCAGCAGTGTCCTGCCCCCTCTCCACGAGGGCACTGCTGTCTGGTGGGGGCTTTCCAGTTCTGACAGTGGGTGCTAATGCAAACAGGGCTGTGGTCCGGGACCTCCTCCTTGGGGCTGGAGCTGACCCTGAGGGCGAGATCCTTTCTTCATGATAGAGATGGCCCTGGGCCCAGCTGCAGTGAGGTGGTTCAGGGGAGGTGGCAGGAGTTTCCCATGGGAGTGGAGGTTGAGATGACTGGGAACGGCTAGGGACAGCATCCCCTCTGTACAAAGATATGGCTGAATGGGTCCTCTCTGAGCCACCATAGCTCTGGTCTCTGGGGCCCTGGCTATGCCCAGAGCAAAAGCCCCACTGTTGCTTGGAGCCTCGAGCAGGCCAGTCCCTGCTGGAGCACTGGGTCCTCTCCTTGGGGTGAGCAGGCAGGTGGTCAGTAGGGCCGCCACACGGCCTCGTCCATGCGGCCTGGTGTGCTCAGGGCTGTGGGGGAGTTGCTGTGGCTGCCGTCGGCCTCCACGCCATCACCCTGGCCCAGGCTGGGGTTCATGAGATTGCCGGTGGCCACAGAGACGGTACTGCTGGGACAGGAGGTCAGCATGCGGGTGGGTGAGCGCTCACCGCCGCCACTGCCCCCGCCAGCCACCATGGAGAACTGGTAGGAGCCTGAGGAAGCGCCATAGTAGAGGTGGTAGGGTGCCGGGTTGGCCTGGAAGGGCCCGTTCTGGCTCTGCGTGGCCCCAGGGTAGGGCGGCGGGAGGTAGGTGTGGTGGAAGCGGCTGGTGGCCGGCATGCCCGTCACACTGAGGCTGCCGATGCTGGTGCCCGAGGGTGTGGCGCTGTAGGGGAAGGCAGCCGACATGGCGCCCGGGTAATGCATCCTGGGGTCAGGGAAGCGGCTCTCTGTGAGGGTGAAGGAGCGGTCAAACTGGCGGGGATCAGAGAAAGGATTCAGGTCCGAGGTGCCTGGGTGACAGCAAGGAGGAGAGTCAGTTGCAGCGGGAGACCACCCCACAGCCTGAAGCGTGACCTAGGGTTGTGCCTCACACCCTGCGCACAACCCCGGGGCTCCCTGGTGCTCTGCTCTTTGGGCCCTGGAGCCAAGACACCCAGGACAGACCTTCCTGGAAGCAGGAGGGCCACAGCCTGATGGAGATCCCCATTCTCTGAGGGAGGAGAGTAGGTGAGTCCACCTCACAGCCCGGCAGGGCCCAGGCTGAGGACAGGGTCACTAGAAGACCAGGACAGTGCAAAGGGTCTTGGGGCCCTGTGGGGTTGGCCTGAACTCTACTTCTGCAGATCAGGAAACTGAGGCAACGAGAGGCTGATTCTCCTGACTTGGCACAAAAAGGACTAGAACTCACATGAGATTTTTCTGCCTTCCCTGGGGTGTGTGTGTGTGTGTGTGTGTGTGTGTGTGTGTGTGTGTGTGCGCACATGCATGCTGGTACCTGAGCCAGGCTGTAGGAGGCCCAGACAGAATGCTGAGTAACGTGCAGGTAGGACTGTTGCCCACTGGGAACCCCAGCAGGCAGGGAGGGACAACAGGCCCTGGGCCCAGTGTGTGGCCCTCAGAGATGCCTGGCCCTGCCCTGTTCCCTCCTGGGCTCTCTCCTAGGAAACCCAAGCTGGCCAGGCCCCTGCCCAGCAGCCAATCCCAACAGTGGAAGGAAATGTTTATTTTCTTCTCCAAATTGCCCTAGCTGCCTCTGTGGTGGCTGAAAGGGCCCTTTGAGTAGAGAGAAGCCCCCACTGTGGGCGGCTGCAATGGGGCTGTGGGCTGGGTATGCAGGAGCTGGGGACCTGGCACTGCTTGTCAGTGACCAAAGCTGAGGGGTCAAAGGGAAGTGGTAGCAGGGAGTCCTGAGGGCATCCCCAAGATGGGGCCTGAATGCAGAGGCTGGTCCCATGAGGAGGGAATGCCAGTGAGCTGGGCCCTCACACCTGGGGCCACCAATACCCCTCTGCAGAGGGGCCTCTTGATTGATGAGAAGACTGAGGTTCAGAGAAATTAAGTGATTTGCCTGTGGTCACACAGCCAAAGTAAGGCAGTGCTAGAGCTGCCAGCCAGCTCCGCTTCACTGTGAAGTTCCTGCCTTTTCCCCAGCCTAAGAATTAAGGGCTTTCTCTGATCTCAAAGGGAACAGGCCTGGAGGTCGGGCTGCTAGGGGCCAGGACTACAGGGTGGCCAGCAGGGGTGGAGGGCTTATTTCAGGATGCCCAAGGAGGAGGACTGGGTCAGCTCCACCCCTGGACTGGTCCTCTTGTCCTCACTGCCCAGGTGGAAGCTTGGGGTCCGGCTGCCATGGACCCTGATCAAACCATTCCCACCCTATTGTGGCAGGAGGATGCGGCTCTCCTCCCACAAGAGCTGGTAGGTAGGAAGCTGCTGCACACCCTGCTGCATGCTGGCTCTCCTGGCACAGACCCCACACCGTGAGTCTGGCTCCGTTGAAGGCTGGGAAAGACCCTGCACGCTGGGCTCCTGTAACTTGACTGAGGCCAGCCTGCGGGGACAGGGGCAGGGGCTGCTACTGGCTCTCCACCTCCCTCCCACACCTCTTTAGGCCAGACCCCGCCCCAGAGCTCCCCAGGGTTCAAGAGCTGAGCATCTCTAACTCACTAGCTCACTGGCCATGGGCTCAGAGAGGCTGGGCTGTCCTCTTCTCCCCTTGGGCCCCACTTCCTGAGCCTGGGTTACTACGGGAGCACCTTCACCGCATTGCAGGGGCTATATCAAGCCTGGCACTAGGCAAGGACTGGGACCAGCCCTCCCTGAACAAGGTCCCAGAGGGCCTAGCTCAGCATAGCAGGTGGAGGGGTGGGGAGGACGGGGACAGGCAGGAGCCATCTGCAGCTCTGTGCTGGCTTCTTCCTGCTCCAGGCCCCCTCCTCAGCCCTGCAGAAGTACAGCGGGCACATGGACTCAGACACTGACAGGCTGTGTGGCCCAAGGTGGCCAGAACCTCTCCAGCCTCTGTGCACCCATCTGCCAAATGGGCTCTGGCGAGTCCTGGAGAACTGAGATCAGGCCTCGGCCTCTGCCCTGGCCTGCAGCTGAGAGCCCCGTGCCTGCCTAGCCCAAGGGCCAGCTTTACACAGCTCCTGTGTTGCGGCTTCGTGTCCACCTGCTTGCCTTAAACTGGTTGTGGGCCAGTCATCTCTGCTTGGGAGGAACTGCCCAAGGTCAGCTGTGGCCAGTAGGCCATGCCTACTGCCTTCAGCAGGGTAATGGGACTGAGACCCAGGCCTGGACCCCTCCCGCCTCTGCGCCTCCCTGAGTCTTGTCTGCAGCTGGCAACTCACTTTACAGTGTCTAAAGTTTATTTGAGTACAGTAACGTTATCTGGATATCAGCTCAGCTCTGGGTAGAGACCCCCCCACCCCCACCACAACTTCCTGATGAGAACACTGAGGCTGGGGGAGGGGTGCCGTGTACAGACTGGGGATGCCTTGCTCCTGGCTCTGTGGAAATGTCGTGCCCAGTTTTAATACAGGCACTGCAGGATTCACTCCACCTCCCCCAGGAGGGATCCAGCTCAGAGGGCAGAGGCTCTGACTGCTGGGGCTTATCGCTGGGGTCCTGCATGATGTGTGTTTGTAGAGTGACGGAATGAATGTCTAGATATCTAAGGAAGCAAAGAGCACCAGCTGCCTCTTCGATAGAACAAATCAGAGTGCCAGGGATACAGCTCAGTGGCATAAGCACCTGCCTGGCAAGTGCAAGGTCCTGAGTTTGATCCCTGGAGCCACAAAACAAATCAGCAAATGAGGCTCAGAAGGATCTCTGTGGGCCCATGACTGCCCTTGGGTCCTCCACCCACCATACCTGCCCCACTGCGGTCCCTGCCATTCCTTACCTTGGATTGGGGTCTGGGCCTGGCTGCTGAAGTGGCTCGTGGTACTGAGTGAGCCCCGGGGGCTGGGCGTGCTGGGTGTCATCCGCATGCGCAGTCGTTCCAGGTCCCCAAAGCGGTCTGGGAACACCTTGGTCTGGTCTTCTATCTTCTGCCGGTGCCCTGTGGAGCACATGGAACTCATAAGCCGCTGTTTCCTAGAGCCTCCGGGAAGTGCCACTTACTGCTGGGAAATTCTTCTCGATGTCTAACCTTGGGCCTTCACCAGCAGAGCCTGAGGTCACCACTAGCAGCTCCCTCTGAGGTTCTCAGACTTCCTGAATGGAGGGTGATGGCTGCACGCCAGTCTTACCCCAGCTACATGGCAGGAATGATCCCTCATACCTTAGGAGGGGCCGCTGAGGGCTTCAGACCCACTCAGCTGGTAAGAGTGAGGTCAGGATATGAACTCAGTGAGCACCACTGTAATCCTAGCACTCAGGAGGCTGAGGCAGGAGGAACATAAGTTCAAGGCCAGCCTGGATTACAAAGTGAGTTCAGGTCAGCTTAAACTCCATTGTGAGACCCTCTCCCAAAATACGCAAATACAAAAAA